AGACTTCATAGGTAACAAAGTACAGTAATTCATAACATATATTTATCCTCTTTATTTCACAAAAACATTTTCAATGTAACAAAATGGATAAGAGTTTGTCATTTTAACAGACATAGCAAACAAACAAGTACTTTGGGTACTTTGTGTAGTTTGTGTAGTTTGGGTACTGTGGGTACTTTGTGTAGTTTGGGTAGTTTGGGTACTTTGTGTAGCTTGTGTACTTTGGGTACAAAAAACTCCGCACACACATACACACTCTTCTCAAGAAAAAGACAGATTTTCACTTAGGTATGCGGCAGTAAGATTTTCTTGCTTTGATAGCAAATTGTTTTATACATTCTCCCAGACTACGCAAGTAACCGGACATGTATGAGTATAAGTGTAAATAATTCTGGTTTTTCTTCCATTTCGTTTTATGCCCATTTCGTAAAAGTGCGTCTGCAAAATGAGCCTGCAAAATTGTCTTCATCAGAAAATGATATTCTTTTTATTCTTTTATCAAAAAATATGGTCGTCTGTATAGATTAGCATTCTTTTTCCTATAGAATTAATCGTCATTTCTTAATTTAATAAATTGCATAATTTATCTTCCTTTCTTCACTGTTTCCAGTTAGCTTTACTTCGTTCTCGGCATTTCAAGACTTTGAAAGAGAATTTGAAAGCGCTCAGTCGTTGCTCTTCGCTAAAGTTTTTGCTTTTTTTTTCCACTATATAAATTTGCCTGTTTTTTTACTATACAGTTTTTCTTTCAAAATAAATACCAAAATCTCAGCAACGTTAAAGTATAGGTATTACTAGTTGGGATTAGTGCCAGAAACGGAGCATTATCCCTCCATAGACCCTTATGACAAAGTTGTATATATAATAAAAAATCATTTACTTACTTCACATATCAAACGAATATAGAATCTGTGTCCACTAATATTTCAAACATCTGAACAGTCTGTGCATGGTTCAAAGCTAATATAAACTTTTCTATTTTAAAGAAGAAATTGGTACAAGAACAAAATCGCAACTGTTGTTGCATTATATCGCTCAATGCAGTATTCTATTAGAAAATTAAAAAATAAGGACAAAGAGAAGACAGAAAAGAGAGATAAGCTAACTATATAAAATAACTGAATTATTATTACTTAACAATACTACACCCTTAACAAAAAACCAAAACCAAAAATTAAAATAAAATAAAACTCTAATACGACAAATTAGCATTATAAAACTTAATTCTTATTAATAAAAATTAATTAACAAAAAATTAAACAAAATTAACTACAAAAAAACAAAACCTTATTTTGAAACAATGGTTTAAAAACTAATAAACGCAAATTATCGAAAAAAAAATCTAAATACGTAAAGAACCGGAAGACTTACATAAATATATAAAAGTAGATATAATCACAATGTAAAATACATACTTTTTTATGTATTTTACGTATTTATTATGTATACATAAGCTACAAAAATAAAAATATAAAAAGAATCTACTCTTAAATTAACTATATAACCATCAAGAAAACCTAATTCATAAATATCAAAAGACAGCAAAAACTTAAACCTATGATATTTAAGTTTATAAAACACACATATTAACCTTACCTCAATTAAAATCAACTAAAGAACAAGAAATATAAAGAACAGAAACTACAATACCACTTAAATAAATTATAACTAATAAATACTTTAAAAAAAAACTATTTTAGCAAAAAGAAACTACTATAAACAAAACAATACAAACTAAACTTAAAGAACTTATTGTATAAGGAAAATTATAAATAGATAATTAATTACCGTTTACTTAGAAATAATGTGTTAAATCCGAACGCTGGTAAAACAATTTTGAGTACTAATTCAAATTCGGCAAAACGTTTTCGTCTAGGTATGAAATATGCTGCTTCGGACAATTTCAAGAACTGGAAACAGCAAGAAAATACTAAACAAAATTATAGAAATAAAGTAATAACAATAATAATATAACTATTACTCGTTATTATACAATTAGGCATGCAACGGTTATTTTATCGCGGCTCTTGGCCGCAGTAGTTTTAGAAATCGGAGAAGCTTTTTAAAATTTTTTCGAGTCGACAGTTTTGTGCACAAATGTTTGTTCTACAAAATAACACATTGCAGACTTTCTCACGGTGGTTCGTCGATGAGATATAAATTGTTTACCTGGAAATCTGAGTGGTAACCGGTCGTATTTTAGAGAAAAAAATTTATATCTCATCGACGAACCACCGTGAGAAAGTCTGCAATGTGTTATTTTGTAGAACAAACATTTGTGCACAAAACTGTTGACTCGAAAAAATTTTAAGAAGTTTCTCCGATTTCTAAAACTACTGCGGCCAAGAGCCCGATAAAATAACCGTTGCATGTATAGATAGATAGAATAGAAATTAAATAGTAATTTACAATACCTTATTCTCCAATCGGCTAGTTGGTATTGTTTATCTGCTACGATATGACAGTATTCTTTTAATAAATAAGCTAATGACAATGATGTTAAATTTAATCCTTCAGCCGCATGGAATGTGTCAAACATATTTATAATATATATACCAAAATCATTGTATAGCCATTCAATATCTGATGTACCAGCATGGAATACCTAAAAATAACACAATTATAGATACTTATGCGTAGTACAATTCACGATTTTATAAACAATATTAAAAGACTACTTAGCTACTGGCACGAAATTTTCCATTCTAGTATTTTTCTATTTAGTATTGCTGCTTACTTTTAATGTTTTTAAATTGGCAAATACAGTATTTAATACATGTAATTCTTCTCTTAACACCAATGTATCTACGAGATAATCGTTCGACCGCGTTGATATTTGTAAGAGACAAGTGAAGACTTGATATGAACGATAACTGTGTCTCTGAAGATATAAAAACAACAAGTAGTAAATGCGCAGACCACGAGAGCTTTATATACTTCACAATCGACAGCTAACTCTTGTTGTTCTTTAAGATGATCCATCATATTGTTCAGCTTGTCAATTGTATCAACATAAAAATATGTTGTATCTTCTAACGTTTTTGGTGGCTAAATACACACAAAAAGAACAAGCAGAATATGTGTTAATTAATTATTCAGTGAATATAAATACTTGTGGTTCAACAAATTTCAGCAGATCGCCGCCCGCTTGAAACTTTTGAATTTCATAATGAAAAGGATGTTGCTGTACCACAGACGATTTTTTTTTTCTTTTTGGATGGTTGTGTATCATCCAAATAACCAAAAATATCATATTTATCATACTCATCATCAGAGTCAGCTGGAGGCACACCAGCATCGCCAGCACTCGGAAGATCACCTAATTTTTTAACATCTGATTTGCTTGCGTTCATTATGTCTGATAAACGCATGTTTTCAGGTGAAAATACAAACTGACAAATGCTGATTCTACGCAATACAGAAACAGAAAAGTTTGTTGAAGAACAGGGATGAACATAATGCAAGGCAACACATTAAATTATGCGTTTTCTTTTTTCCCAAAGTCCATTTTCATCGCTAATCCTGGAAGTACGCTCTATCCAATTCTTTCTACACTGTAATCTGGAATTAATTTCTAGTTTATAGAAAATCGATCCGAAAAATCGTGGAGCTTTTTCTGATATTTATAAAACGCTCGTAGATTTTCTGAATTTTTATAAATTCGTGATTTTCGATTTTCTATAAATTGACTTTTCATTTTATTCGAAAAATCGCCATAGAGTTTCCAAAAATATAAAAAGTCGGCGTCGATTTTCTAGATACTGGAAATTCGAGTTTGATTTTCTAATATTCTAGAAAATCGATCGATTTACATAATTCCCAAGATTCTGGAAACTCCACATCGAATTTCTAAAATGCAATAGGTCATTTTTTTCAGCTTAGCTTTGACAGCCGTATATATTTTTAATACCAGTTACCCGAATAATACGAAGACGACTCTTTAAACAGTCGATGGTGTTGTATTTAAAGCAAGGAATTTTATTTGGTCACTCGGTTTTCAACGTTTCTAGAATCAGTAAATTTACAGAAGTTAAAATATCCGTTAAGTCAGCACGAGATAAGGTTAAAGTAAGATCTAATTAATAATCACCAAATGAACAGACACTGTTTGACCTTATCGTCTTTGTACCAATCAAAATACAAAACGCAAGGCGGTTTAAATTTCTTAAAATGAGTATGTTCAATGCTTTCCCAATTTAAAATAGGTGCCGATGAGGGCTTTTGGACAAGTAATGAGCTATAGCTTTATAAAAATAAGTGCAAATATCAGCTTTACCCTCTGTGCTCAGGCCTTGAAACAAGGAGCTGTATCGTAAAAGCAAGTTCATTTCTTTTGAGAATACATTAGTTCTCCATGAATAGAACCATACAGCTATAGAGCGGTCATCATCACTTTTTTCCAGAACCGCTAAGTTATGCGTCAAGCAAATTTTGTCTTTTTTTTATTTATAGGATTTTCCAAGTAAACTGAATTGACTGATGGTGATTGAAAACAGTACAATAATTTTTGTTTCCTTTTTTTAAACCTTTTTTAATAAATAAGCAGGTAAATGAGCAATGCATCTTCCAAAATGTAAATTATAAACATCAACATTTGAGAGCATTCTTAACCTAGAAGTCCGTCAGGTTTAGGCAGTCCCAGAGAAGCCTTTTCTTTAGACTTCATAGGTAACAAAGTACAGTAATTCATAACATATATTTATCCTCTTTATTTCACAAAAACATTTTCAATGTAACAAAATGGATAAGAGTTTGTCATTTTAACAGACATAGCAAACAAACAAAAACTTTTTATTCAAAAAAAATTGACATGAAAAAAGAAAAATTACAGTGACTATGATTATAATAAATACAAATTGTAAAAAACATCATGTACACAGACTGATAGCTAAAATGGAACAAAAAATAATTGAACAATAAACAATAAGTTGTTTATTGGAGGACTGTGCAGTGGTGAAACTTTATCCTCAACGCAGCACAAACTCATCTCCGATCAATAAGTATAATTCACCAACACACCTCGTAGAATTTTGCCAATTAAAGCAGAATTTTGTGAAATATTACCGAATTGTGCCAGAATACTCCCACCACTCTCACGGATTTCGCAGAATTTTGCCAAATAGATCCGTTTTTGCTGCGTTGAGGTTAAAGTTTCACCAGTGCACAGTAATGTAATAAGAGCTAAACGAAGCACAGTATCTCGACCCACGGTATGGAAAAGTACTTAAAGATAAACGTGGGGACTTCTACATCTAGTTATAACTACGCAGTTTCTCTACTGTAAAATATTTGGCGCCGGCAAACCATGGCTTGCCATAACCATCGTCAGGAAAAGACCAGATTAACGGCAGTTGCACAGTAATACCTCTATAACTACGGGTTTAATAATTAAGCATACTTGCTTGACAATTTTTTAAATAGGCCGAAAAATCTGATTTCCTTACCAGAAAACTAATAATACGTTAGATAACTTATAGTAGTAAAATCTTCGCAGGAAATTCACCGGAGGTAACCTATATCTCATAGTGCATTAGTGCATAACCTATCCGGGATTGATTGGATGAGTCATCACATCATTGACCACATACTATTAGTAATGTTTAGATCGATCAACCATGTTTTACACCATATGGAAACTTTTTCAAATCAGCGCTAAAAGTGAAGTGGTCTTATCGATTGAGAAATTATGATAGAGCGGCATCATCTGCGAAGAGTTTAAAAACGGATTCTAGTCCCTCCCCAAGATCATCAATGAACACCAAAAATAACAGTGGACCCAGAACTGAGCCCTGGGGCACACCGCAATTTATATCAGCTAATCCAGATTCAAATCCATCTATTATTATTTTAATTTTTCTATCTTTTAGATAGTTTTCTATCCATTTAACCACTTGTTCACTCACACCTTTTTGTCTTAATTTGTAGATCAACGCATGATGACTGACCGAATCAAATGTTCGCGAAAAGTCGAGAAAAATCCCTCTCACAAATTTAGATTCCTCAAATCCCTCATGAATATAATGGAGAAGAGTCACTAATTGGTTTACGCAAGAATCTTTTTTGATGGAACCAGACTGATGAACAGAGATTAAGTTATTTTCCATTAGATACTCATATAAATGCTTAAATACAATTCTTTCCATTACTTTACCTAATATTCCTAACTAATGGTCCAAAGTTTCTGATAATCTCTTGTTGATTTTTTATGCCTACAAGTCAAAAAAGAAATGGAAGTTTCTGTGAGGTTTTAATAAAGGTTCGATTTAATATGATAGAGTTACTCGATATCGATAGTAAGAAAAACAACGGGAGCCCCCTTATCAGGTCCACCTGCCTTGTGCTTGGTGGAACGTCACTGGTCCTCTCTCAGTTTTTGAAAGCTGCGCAACTTTAACATGTACGTTTCTGAATGTGTAGCAGGTACAAAAGTTTTTGCACTTTAAGTTTGATATTTACATTTTTGTAGTTTCAAAGTAAAAATGAAAGCACTTCAACTTTGAAAATCCAGCGTCAGGTTTTTAAGATGTAAAATTCACTTTTTTGCATTTTGGTTTGGAAAATGAGAGAAAGAAAATGCAGGCTGCAATTCTTAAAAGGAAAACGCCAGAAGGAGCACTTAGTTATTATAGTTTTACAATAAAAACGCTAGAAGTCCAATTCAAAACAAGTTGAGGGGTGTATCATATAAGATGTATTCATAATTTTTAGCATACTGCACAATAGCACATCCAAGTAATCGAACAGAGAAAAACCAATAAAACACATTTTCTCTCTTAGTAAAAAACATATATCTATTTTACTTATCTTTCTTTGTGTTGTTTAAAACCGACTTTAAAACAAGCAAAAGCTCAAACATAAAAAAGTCTAGTCCTTTCTCTAAATGATTGCAAGCCTTTTCGAGTTTGAATTCATTTAACACTGAAACTTTACATCCAACCAAGCTAAACTTGGACTTTGTTCTATACCTGAAGAACATCCACCTCGAAAATGAGGTCAAGCTGCAGACCAATGATAGATTTGCTCTTTGCCATTGCAAAGGGCGTCACACAAACACTTTGACGTTGGTTTATTTGTAATTTATTAGTTCACACCAAAATTTACCGATGAATTACTTGAAAATGATTACAAGTACAGTAAGTGTCTCGAATAAATAAAGAAGTAGGTTTTTCTGTATAAACAAAAAAATTTCGAATACATAAACTGTTTTTTAAATCAAATATATAAAAATAATCTATTTTTAAAGGGAACGCAAAACGATAACGTCTTTCATCCAATGTATATAATAAGACAACTATGAAAAATAAATTCTGTGTATTATATCCAAATTCGACAATAAAATCTGACAACAGAGTTATCTTCAGTACGAAAGTTAAACTAAATCGAAAACAAAGCTTGTCATTATTTTTATGTACACGTAGTCACAAGCAATAGAAAGCAAAAAACTAATCTGATAGTAATGTAATCAAGAGTAAGAAAAGGGTTAAGTAAATAAAAGAGGAATAATATTAATAATATTTTTCTTGGATAGATATACTGTTTCATGACACTTGTAAAGACGCCAATAATGAGAGTTAATCCCTAATAAGAAAAATAAAAGCACGAAGAAAAAAATTGCAAGATCAACTGATTGTTCAACTTTCTTTCGTTTTTTTCCGAGCAGGGAGTTTTCCACCTTCTTCTGTGTGCCTTCTTGCACGTTTGTTCATAGTTGTTGGCTCGGATATTTTTGCTGTGGTGTCGTTATCCTTTGGATGATCATCTGAATGAAAAAGATAGAGATGATAAGCTGTTCATAGGAGTTCACACAGGTATAAAAATCGTGTATTTCAGGCCAGAAAAGGTGACTTTTGTACAGGAATGGCACAATTGTTTTTTTCATTCTGGCGAAGGTAAGGTGCACGCAAAGCAAAATTTTAGCAAAAGTTTTTTTTCGATAAAAGACACATATTCGGATTTGCCAGAGCATGCTGATCACGAATATGACCTTGAAAGTTGAAAAAAACCTTTTTTTCGGGGAGAAAAATGCAAAATACTGAAAAGGTCGAAAAACTTCGAAAAGTCTTGGCCTTTCGAAAAACACTCATAACTTTTTATAGAAAGTAGCTACAGGCTCAAACTTTTTTTTGTTCGATTCCTCGTCGAAAACTGGGTATATCCATACTAGTTTCAGACTCTTAGACCGTAATTTGAAATTTTGGCGCTGCTCGCGATAGAAAACCCTGAAAAATGAGACCCCTCCGCCAAAAACCTATCTAGTTTTTTTGGTGAGGAGCTAACTCATTGAATTTTATGCCATTCGATAGCTCTATACTCCAGCTATAGCCGTAAGGAGGGGTTTTGGGAAAAAAATTTTTTTCGTTGAGAAATAGCATTTTTACTAAAAATCAAAAGAACCCCAAATAGTGCTTTTTTCAACTGTATGCTATTTTTAATTTTTAAACTTTTTTTTTGAGTTTTTGGGAGGCCAGGGTTGATGCAACAGGCACTTCACGTTGTTTGCAGAAAAAAAAAGATCTTGCGTGTAACATCTTACTGAAAAACAGTGAAACCTATCACATTGTCTTCAAGTTTCAGATAAGTCATAATCTTTTACTAGCACTTTGTTAGTTAGAATGCCAAAGCGCAACCAACTACAACTTAGAAGCGAAAAAGCAAACCAGAAGCGTCACTCGGCTGAATATGTGTCATCTAGTGGCGAATCTGATGACGATGTGTGGGAGGAAAACGAGGCTATGGAAACTGAAGCGGAGGCTGTGCAAGAGAATAAGGAACCGTTGAATTTTACGAACGAAGTTTTCGTCAATGATATCGGCGATCTCTTTGGTAAGTAATTTTTGTTGACAGAGATTTCTCTTTAGTTTGTTTCAGTAACGTTTATTTCGTTCAGAGTTGTGCAAAGCCATTTGTCCAGTAAAACACCTTAGTGTTTTGATCTATATGATTTTGAGGCATTTTGGAATGAAGTGGCGGGCTATCAGTGATTTTCTGTCACGTATTGGAGCACAGACTAGTGTAACGGCTCATAAATGGACACAAATTTTCGTCTCAGGAGATTTAGAAGCATTTGCGTCAGGAAATAGTAAGTTGTGCTTATAGCTTCAAATCACTGTACCATAACTTCTAACCTGCCAATCTTTTAGGAGGCGGAAGGCGCACACAAGGAAATTTTGCTAAAATTTTGCTTTGCGTGCACCTTAAAATATTCCGATTCTGGGCGGATGTAAAAGAAATGTTCCTTTAAAGCCCTAAGATAGGTGAAAAACATGATATCTGTCGAGTATTTCGGCAACTGTCCTATATGGGCATATTTTTGGGAAGATTATTTTTAGCTCATTTTGAAGCTTGGAAAATTCTATCTTTCTATGTGTGGGCTTCGGTCAAGATCTTTGAAATCGTACGAAAAACTTGAGGAACACAGTGATTGGCCTTCGTTGAACTGCACGAAGATTTCTTAGTGTTGATTTTTTTTCTTATTGATGCACCCGGTCTTAAAGGCTCAAATCGTGTTGCTAGATAGAGTTAAGTATCAGGCAATTCTGACAAAGTTTGGAAGTGATACTGTATCTTTGATCTGCTATAGAAGTTTTAGTGAAGAGTATGAAAAGTGAAAATTTGAAATTTTGCTCGAAAAATATTTTTTTCTCAAACAACAAGCATGTTGTTTTAATTCTTTTATCGTCAGTTTATAGTGCGTTTTCCACTCTACAAAATCCGGTTTAAACAGTATCTTCATTATACTTCCTTACTGAGTTAAAACACTTTTTTCATCTTATGTTAGTAAATGGTCAAACTTTTCAGAAAATTAGTTTTTGAGAAACGATTATAGTTTCAAAGCAGAAATTATATATGGTTAGATGCGCAATAAAATTCTGTATCGAACTTGCTATTCAGCTTTTTGATACTTTCACATTTTTAAATCGCGCAGGGTCCTTTGCTGCACGCTACTTAGAAGATGAAAAGCTTCCATAAACAGTGCACTTTGGTCAAATTGAATGGGGCCAATTTTCATTTTTCGAATGAATATGAAGTTATCTTTTTTCTAAAGCATGATATCATGTGGAAATATAAAATTGTGTGCGTACTTAGAAATGTGCAAAATAAGAGTTACCTTCTCTCTGTTTATATTCAGTTTAAAAGTTTTCTCCTACATCAATGTGAGTATATGATTATTTGCATTGTTTGCCAACATTTTATTTCATTGTGCAATGATGAAAAACACGAATAAAAATTATTGTGCTTGAAGCCCTTGTTGCGCTTATCTCTAGGCAAGTAAAGATAATGTTCTGGAAAGTACATTGTTCAAGTAATCTGTCTGGGAAAAGGTAAGGAATTATTTCAACGGAATGGCTATTGGCAGGTGTAGATATGTCAACAAAATGGTATTGCCACTTTCGGGAGTGTCAGCAAAGACGTCAACCGACATTTGATCGCCCTGACGTTTAAGCGATGCACGGACTGTACTTTCACTCTCAAGATTCGGATTGTATATTCGTGTTATGCGAGGTGTCGTGTACTTGGCACCTCGCTCAGTGCGAAGGGAGATAGGTGAATAGTGAGAGTGAGTGAAAAAACAATATTCTTCGAGAGAATTCGAAAAGCTGATAATCTAACAGATGAAAAGAAAAAGTTATATAAAAAATATTGTAAGAATATTGTAATATGTAGTGAACAACGTCATTTTGAACATGCACTGCAACTCTAGTTGAAGCAAGCAAATGAATTCAGAGAAGCTCAAGTTGCCGTAGACTGTATAAGCGATTGTTCAAACGTCGTCGCCACTTCGAGGGAGTGGCCCACTATTAGTTTGAACTGTTCTAAACTCAACACAGTGCACTGTTAAGTAAACGTTGTCATGAAATTTAAGCCTCTCCCCTCTAAAAAAGATTTT